AAAAAAATAGTCATCTTGGATAGTCAATTAACTTTTTCTCATTACTCGTGGCTCGTTTAGGTGGGAGGTTGGACAACCGAATATGGGAACCTGTTGACATTTACGACAATCAGAGGTGCAGCTCATATGGTACCTTATGCACAGCCTTCAAGGGCTTTGCACCTGTTCAGCTCGTTTGTTCGTGGCAAAAGGTTGCCGAACAATACTCGTCCCTCCATTGACGATTGATGAGCCATGCTTCTTTAAGTACTTGTTTTTGAATTGATACTTTTTACATTTGGCCGAAGGCGAATATCGATTTGTTGGCTTTAATTAACAGTGGGGATTCTCAAAGGAAGATTATGTTGAAGTTGTTTTCTTGGTGGTCTTAAAAGGAGTTGATCATTTGTTCACAACCATTAGAGCAATATATAATAAATGAAGTCTAATAAAAAATACGGGAAATGTTACGGTTTCGTTACAGAACTATTCCGTCAGGGTTTGTAATCGTTAGATCAACCATTCTCGACGATTACATGATGATCTAATAGTTATAAATCCCGACGGAATGATCCCGTAACGGGAACGTAGCATCTAAAAAAAAATTACACAAGCCAAATGCTAATTAATATGATCATAAATGAATATAAATGTAATAATGAATAATTAGTCTGAAAGTGTCTTGTGCAGCTACTGGTAGTTGTAACAAAGTGTTGTAATATATACAAGGAAAACTGTCATACGCTTGACCACCCAACAACAAAGGTATGATGAATAATTTGACATAAACCTCCTCAGTCCAAACCCAACTTTTTCAAAAACCTATATAATAACTGAATTGGCTTTACCTCATTAAATAATGTATATTAGAAATTTATTAGATGACGCCTTAATCTTACTTATTAGTCTCTTTTTAACATGGCATTTGTTGTTAACAAAAGTCCACCGACAGGATTTAGTTTACATACTGACCAACCGAAGGTTGTCCCAAATCCGATAACAAATAATGTTCCCAAAACCACATATTAATATGTTCACCGTTTATGTGACATACAAATATTTACATATTGACCAACCGAAGGTTGTTCCAAATCCGATAACAAATAATGTTCCCCAAACTACGATGGACACATGTTAATATGTCCACCGCTTATATGACATGCAAACATTGATGATGTATTTTTTTGAATATATTTATATTAAAATCACTAATATGTGCATGTCACATAAACAATGCACATATTAACACGTGCCCACCGTGTGGAGGGAGCATTACCGATCCAATAACCCATGTAGCTCATACTTCATCCTCACAACCAAATTCACCAAAATACCCTTGCTCTCATTTACAGCTTTCTTGATTATACCATCTTCGTCTGCAACCAACCACTAATTTCACCGTACTTTCTGAAAAAAACTTGAGATCTCAGTATATTATTGGTATCTAGCAAATCTAAAGTTCGTTTCTTGATGATAAAAATCAAATCTTTTTCTTCAACAACTATCCCTGTGGTGGAAAAAAAATGAGTGAAGTTATGAGCAGCTTGTACTTCAATTCGGTTGCCCTTTCGAAACCCTTGTTCAAGAAAGCCCACAAATTTTACAAGCTCTTAGCTGCAAACTACAGCAAAAGCACCCCTTTTCAATCCTTCACAGCATTTCTCATGATCTGTGCAATTATCTGTTTCTTTGCAGTCATGGGTTGTACCTACTTTTACTTGTCTCCATCTTCTGAAACTGTAGTTGGGATGATGAATAGAAGTAAAGATATTATTAACAGCCCTAATGCTTCATCCAAGGTTTGCAATGTGTTTGATGGGAAATGGGTGGCTGATGAGAGTTACCCTCTTTATAATGCATCAGATTGCCCTTTCGTCGAACGAGGGTTCGACTGTTTAGCGAATGGTAGGAAGGATAGAGAGTATCTGAAGTGGAGGTGGAAGCCCCACAATTGCGAAATCCCGAGATTCAATGCTCGGAAAGTATTAGAGTTGCTTCGCGGGAAAAGGGTCGTTTTTGTTGGCGATTCTTTGAGTAGGACTCAGTGGGAGTCCATGGTGTGTATGCTGATGAGTGGTGTTGAGGAAAAGAATAGTGTGTATGAGATGAATGGTAATGAGATCACGAAGCGGATTAGGCATTTGGGGGTCCGGTTCGGGACATATGGGCTTTCTGTCGAGTTTTATAGGTCGATTTTTCTAGTGCAGCCCGGCCCAGCTCCTAAGCGTTCGCCCAGGAGAGTTAAGACTGTCGTGAAGCTCGACCAGTTGGATGATGTTAGTGGAGAATGGGTCGATTCTGATGTTCTTGTTTTCAATTCGGGCCACTGGTGGACACCAACTAAACTCTTTGAAATGTACGCGCGGTTTTTTGTGTTGATTTTTCCCGTTTGTTTACTTTCTTTGTTCAAAATGTTTGAAAAATTTAAGTCATGAATAGTGATGCATCATGTGTTTGTAATGCTTCTCTATTGCATTTGTTGCATGAGATAGCATAAATGTAATGTTTTCATTAGTATTTGTTGTGGTATAGTTCTGATGAGCATTTTCAGACAGGGGTTGGTACTTTCAGGTCGGTAATAAAATAAAGTTCGGTATGCCAATAAGTAAGGCGTTTAAGGTTGCACTGTCTACCTGGCAATCGTGGACTGATAGTGCAATAGATCCCAACAGAACGCATGTTTTCTTCCGAACTTTCGAGTCCACTCATTGGAGGTATGTAGTGTGTTTTCTTTTCATCTGCTCGACTGTACTGCAGTTATTACATCAGTTTAATCCTACATGTGCATATTTAAGCACAAATTGACCACAAATGATTCTCATTCATATTCATATTGTGGATATTTACGAAAATTTTAGCTCAAAAACCCAAGAAATCTGTATATTATCCAAAAAAATTGCGCATGATAGCTACTAAAACTTATTTGCACAAAATGCTGAAAAATATCACTTGTTTTGCTGCTCAAAATGCAAACAGTAGCGGGTCCCGTCAGAACTGCAGAGTGACAACAAGGCCTTCATCGAAACCTAATGGGCGACAAAGGAGCTCGATAACCGATTCGATTGTTAATGCCGTGAAAAGGGCCTCTGTTGACCATATGATGTAATTTTGACTAGTTAAGTGGTAAGGGGTATCTTAGTCTTTTCCTATATAATCCTTTAGGGATTTATATAGCATAATGTTGCTTGAACAATGTAATACGAATATCATAATTGTATCTGTTCTTCCAGAAAAATCAAGATGCATATTCCCTACACTTTCTATATTGTTTCTCTCTGCTCTACCATTTAACATGGTATCAGAGCACTAAATCACTGATCGGAGCTAATTTTTGATCGGAAATGCCAC